AACATGCCACATACGTTTGAACAAACGTACCGCTGTCTCTGCTCGGTTCGGCCAAGGAGTTCTTGGCCCACAAGGACATTGTTGTATACCATGGAACCTGTAGTATTCAACAAAGGCATCTGTGAAAAAGGCTTCGTCTCCTACGATGGCCTTCGGAACACAGTTGTTCTCATCAGACCACTGCCTCAATGCTTGGATGGTGGTTTGATCTATGAGGTCTTTCTGTGCCGTAGCCCAGAGAAGATTTGTGGCACCATCAAGAACAAGTAGAATGATATACTTGTTCTTGTGAAGTTCAACCTCACAATGATCAGCAAAAACAACATCACCAAAACATGAAGCTCTAATTCCGGAGACTCTGGCTCGTGGCGGAGGTGCCACTGAAGTGTTACAAACACGGCAGTTCCTGACAACTGATTCATACTTCTCTAAAGCAGAGTCAGGAAGCTTCAACATAGAAACACGCCTACGAAACTGAGTAGGACTCATATGGTAGTGCTTCACATGAAGCTTATAAAGCTCTACCTTGTCCTCCAGTCTCTGCAACATTTTCCTATATGCCGGTGTCATTGCAACAACTTCACTACCAGGTAATGGGATTGAAATCCGCCTAGGCTCAAGAGCGCCATCACCTGGTTCAAGTGGTTCACGTTTATCACTTGATGGTCCTTTTGATGCTTTAGGAATTTCTACAAGTTCACCTTCTGGCCTCTCAGGTGGTTCTGAGGGAGTATACCCTCAGGATCATCACCCTTTAAATCATGTGAGGGCTCAGATGGTTTCAACTTGTGTCCTTTCCAAAATGGATCAAAACCCTTGGAGGTATACCGAAACTTCGGCGGCACAGGCTTTTCCGCGGCACTGGATGGTGCACCTTCCTTCTCTGAAGAGAAGCCTGGTTCCCTGTCCTTTGCAATGGGAACCTTCTCTGAGGAGGAGCGCACCACTGCATCGGGATCACCAATGCCACGGTGCTCAATGCCAGCCTTCCTGATCTTTAGATCTGGAATTTTGGCATCTGGCTTGAACTTAAAAATTGTTCTACCACGCCATTCATAGCCAATTTGTAGGTCCTTCCATTTTGCCTTGCGCCAATCATCTATCTTCTTGATCTCTTCTCCTCCTTCTTTCTTCTTGATGATTGTCAGTCGCAAGTCTTCCAGCAAGTCAGTGTCTACAGGACAGGACTTAGTTGCTGGGAAAAGAATCTTCCTGTAATCCTTGTGGTGACGTGTCAGTTCTCTCTTGTGAAGATCTACTTCCCAGTAGTCAACCACAGGATATGCATGCTCAGCTTCATCTTCATCACTATTGTGATCAACCGAAATATGGCCATATTCATAGTGAGTGAAGTGAGAGTAAAAGCTCTTCTCGCGCCGAGCCTGCAAACGCACGTCAGACAGATACCATGCAATATCTTGGAAGTCCAAAACAAGATGAGTACTGGCTGCAACCTTCACTCCAAAAATTTGATACCAAGAGGCACCGATGTCAGATAAGCATGTTGAGGTGTCAGCCTGAGTTCAAAGCCTAAGTTCCTCATCTGTGGCAAGCTCATAAGCAAAGGGACTTCTCCTTCTTCAACTATGTCGAACTCTGTATTGTGGATCGTCCATGCACGATCATACATGTAAATCACCAGTTTCTGAGAGCAAGAAGCTTTCTGAGAATTGGCAAAGTAAAACTTGCTCTTGGTAGACTCAAAAGAGTACCATAGTCCACAGTCTGGATGATTGTCGACATAGTTACAAAAATAATCGACCGCACGCCTTGATCCCATAGCTCTAGTGCATCCAATGTCCAGGATTGCAATAGTTGGCGGGAAGCGATTCTCAGTCAAAAATGAAATAGCCTGCATCTCCTTCACTTCTTCCTCAGCGCTCATAAGCGCAAAGCCATCAGGAGCATCTGTGAGCATCTCCTTTGACAAAGAGTACCTCACAGGGGCACTCATGTCATCGAAGATCATCTCACCATTGTTGACCTCACAGTCAGCTTCATCTTGACATGAGGTCATCATGCCTGACAGCAAGTCCACCTCACTGTCATGGACTTCAGCTGCTGTTGTCACACAATGCGCAAAGAAACCTTGGTGGCTTCCTGATGCTTGTGAAGATCTTGAGGGTGCAGGCAAAGAACGTGGCTGTTGTTGATTTGCATAGTTTGCATCTTGTTTGCCATCTCCTTTATCTTTTCCTTTTCCTTTCTTGCCTTTCCTCTTGCCTTTTCCTTTTCCCTTGTGGGAAAACCATGCTTCTTCAAGCTGTTGCCAAAAGTCATGGGCATCTTCATGTTCTCCTTGAAGATAGTCATTCATATCTTCGGCAAGAATAGCATCATATGCTACTTGGTTTGACTCCCAAGTGTCCTCATAAGGATTCTCTTCAAAATACTCATCTGGATAAGTTGTCGATTGCTCATCAGCATAATGGCCCTTGCCTCGTCTCTTTCCTCCTTTTCCTTTTCCACGAGGTCTGAAAAATCTGCGGCCTGATCTTCCTTTGCCTTTTCCTTTTCTTCTTCCTTTTCCTTTGCCTTTTCTGGCTCTTCTTCCTTGGAATCTCCTCTGGAACCAAGAGAAATTCTGTTCATCATATACCCGAAAGACATCGTCCAGGGCATCAAGGAATCCTTCTGTTCCATCTTCTTCATCTTCGGCCCAATAGCCATATGTACCATCGAGTTCTCCTTCGTCTAGTACGAGAAATGATCTTCTACCTCCAGCACCTGTTGGCTGCATCAGAGGATTGTCTACTGAAGTCTTTGTTGTGCAGAACATCTCAATGAAGACTGTCCTTAACTCTATTGTGGTGTATTGCAGCAGGACTCTACCACGATGAGTCATCAAAGAGGTCAAAGTGTTCCTCTGGTCCTGAGACAAATCTGCAAGTGACAGCATGAGTAGGGCAATGAGATTTTCTCCTAGAGGAAAATCGTTCTGATGAAGAATTCTCAGATTGCCATTGACATTCTGCATGATTTCCTGAATTCTTTCCGCTGTTGGAGCTACTCCAGTCATCGCTGCATCAGCTTGCATCTGAGCTTGTACTGGGGATGTACTTGTGTTACTGGATCCAACATGTCCATCCAACTGCTCATAAGCCTTTGGAGTAGGATCTGAAATCTTGTCATCCACTTCATCATGTCGGCTGATCCGCGATTGAAGCGCACGAATTGCATAAACCTATACAGGAATACATTGGTGGATCCTTTCACAAAATATGGCCGTAGTACTCGTTTGAAGTACTCTACTCCAGCTCCTGGTGGATCATTCGCCTTCAATGCATCTCTGTCTAATACACGTTTGTATACGGCTGCTTCTCCTTCTAATCTGTTTCTCGAAGCTGGTCCTCTCTTCTCATCTTCCAGCTCGGTGATATCACACCAATCGTCTATGGCATCCTCATAGGAAAACCATGAAGTCTTTCCATCATAAGATGGGGGCACCTTTGTAGTGACCTGTGTTGTCATTGCTATAGCTGCTGGTTCTCTTCTCACATGCCTATTCACATAGGCTGCTGGCTCATAAGCCACATCCGCATCAGGCTCTTCCCAGTCGTCAATCCAATCCATGGCCGGTTGCCTACAAGCAAATCTATGCCTAGGAAAGGAGCTCACCTGGGTCTTCCAGGATCACAGCTCCGCTACCACTGAAAGAGTGACTAGGGCGTACACGGTTGAGGTGCAGACCGCTAGTGTCTTTTATGCGCAGAGTCTTATCCTCTTGTCTTCTTGAGCCTTATGGCAGTCAAGTATGGACACACCAGATAGGCCACTGGAGTGGAACCTGTACAAGTAGGCCTCTACATTTCACCTAGGGGGGGTCGGCAGATCGAAGGGGGGGGGTCTGGAAAATGTAACTTGCGACCTGGGAGGCCTGAACTTACATTTTTTTACCCCCCCCTCCTAGGATTCGTTGGCAGATCGAAGATACGCCAATCACTAAGAAATTATTTGGAGGTGGGAGTCACTTAATGAAATAAATTTTCCAAATAATTAACTAAAAGTATTATTTGGCAAGCCATGTAGGTGGTGGCGCAAAATAATTTTCATATGATAGATGCTATTTCTAAATAATTTCGAGTCTATGACCACCCACCTGTACAACATTATTTACATAATTTGAGTTTCCACTACAAAACAATGGCTGTGCGATGCGAGTCTTCCCAGTCATTAGTTCGCAGTGGAAACTCAAGGTTTTTTATTCAAAGGTAAAAGGTGTTCCTAGGATACAAACCTTGGTGAAGTCAAATCTTTGGTCACAACATGTTTTGACTTTTGGACCACAGCACCGAACCTGGGTTTTTTCTTTCTTTTAACACGATAAAAGTCCAAACATTTAACTTTCAAATTCCAAAACGGTTTGACGCCCAAGTTTATTGCCTTCCAAAATGGCTTGACTTGCGAAACGGTCTGGTGCTGGAGTTAAATATAAAAACAATTTGGCACCAGAATCTTGACTCCAAACCAGTTTGACTCAACTTTGGTCAACTTTAGGGGGGGTGGGTCCCACCTAGATGTCTCATGTCGGATCTATGTTGGAAGTTTTTATCACATTATTGAACTTATTTGTCAGACCCTGAGAGTCCAGAAATAATTTGATGCGGATATCTCCAGCCACCTCAAAATAATAGAATATTATTTTGAGGTGGGTGGTACGGTCGGTGGGCCCAGTGGTTGGTGTATGATCGAAGGGATGTGTGGGGGGTCGTGAGCAGAAAAGATTGTGTGTTTGACAGCAAGATTCAGGGGGGGATGGGGGGGGTCCAAAAATATAAGCGCGCCACCGTGCCTCAAACATGTAACTTACATGTTTGAGGTCATTCCCCAGGAAATCACCCATGAGGCCTCAAAAAAGTAAGTTACCTTTTTTGAGGCCACCTCAAAGTTAATGTAATTACATTTTTTGAGGCCCTCCGCACAGGAAAATGTACCATTTTCGACGTCCCTCCTCAGGAAGGGGTGATCTTTCGATCAGTCACATGCGCCACCGGTTGCAGGAAACCCCTACTGCTGGGTGGCCGGCTTTTCCTACGAGATTTGCTGCCAGGGCTTCGGTGCAGGCGCCTAAAGCCCGTGGCCCGCGGGCACCGGTGTCCGGCAGACGGTCTAAGCCTAAGCGACGGTCGAAGACCGTCGTTAGAAGGAACATCCCGGTGGTACCGACCAGACGACCCGGCAGGTTGTTGCGAAGCGACTGTGCTCCGCTCTGACTCTTGTTGGCTCTTGTTTCTGCCAGCGGACGGTCCTCGGCTGGCCTGGACCGCTGAGGACGCGCTTGAGACCGCAAGTGTTGCTTTCATTTGTTTCCCAAAAAGGGGGGGCCTTGTCGAGCCTAGCCTTCGACCTGGTTTATCCGCCTCAAGCAGCTCGAAGCAGCACAAAGCCACACCCCCGTCCTTTGGGCCGGCGGAGGCCCCTGGTGCAGTTCTCCCGAAAAAGATGCTGAACCCAGGATCTCCATCGGATCCGGAGTTGTGTCTGCCAGCTCCAAACATGAAAAACATAGCAAAACGACTCCGTTGAGTTCAGCCGCGTTCCTTCTCCAGAGGTGGAAATCCCGCCTGCTGGGATGGGCACTTCACCTACGCGCGCTGCTGCGTGGCGCCCGAGGAGGAAGCCTTGGCGCAGGTGGCGGCGGCCGCTGCGGAGCGGGCGAGGAAGGTGGAGCGGGTGGGGTTGTACAAAGACTACGTGCCCGGCAAGGACCGCACTCGTGTACTGGTCGGTCGTGACCTGTGTGCTAGAGCTGCCAGTGCTAGCTAATATAATAGACTTATATATTTAAGCGATTTTTTTTTGGGAGAGAGGACTTGTGAGGCACTTGGATTTTGGAGGAGTTGGGAGTCTTTGCAGTTGGCAGAGTAGCTGCACACAACTTGACTTCTGAAGCAGGTGTTGCTGGTTACACGAAAAAGACCGTGCAAGATCATGCAAGAGCCTCCGTAGCATGGGAAACACCTTCTGGAGTTCTTTGAAGCATGACCGTGAGCACCTTATGTATATTGCCAGGAGTTTTTTGCCTCAAACGAACTCTTGATCATCTCCAGCCTGAGTCATCAGGACTGCTGGACCCCACCCCTGAGCTACGAGCTTTGCTGTGACCTCACACAAGGCGAGCGGTTTGTTCATGTGTTCTTGTTTCAAAGGTCTTTTTGTTGGGGGGACAGAAGGAGATCAGATTGTGACTGAAGAAGCAGATGGCCTGGAAGCGATGACGTTGGCGGGCTCTTGGAACTCATGAAGGACTCATACTGCCAATGACTCCTTCAGACACATTCTTTTTCCCTAACATGTCACATGTCCTGTATACGTGGCAGGTTGCAAGAGTCGTTCCCTCAAAGAACCTCCTTCCCCACAAAGCGCAGCACAGCACAGCTTTGTGCATTCCGCACCTTTCAGCTCCGGTCCATCCAAAAACGCCTATTCCGCGCTGGGGCAGCGCCGGCGGCGCGCCGCCACGCTTTGCCACGCGGCAAAGCCACCCCTCTTCGCCACCTCTGTTCGCCCGCCAAGTCCGTCCCGTCTCCAGGGCCTCGGGGCCGTGCGCATTGCTGGGACGAGTGGCGCCTGACCTTTGAGCGGTGCTGCTTCCTGGGCGAGGAGCTCAATCAAGGCCGACGGGGCGGGTGGGGGGGATGGGTGGGAGATGGTGGGAGGGTGGGAGGGAGGAAGTCTAGTGGAGCCTGTAAGCAAGCAAGCAACTACAGATGAAATCCTGAGGAACGAACACAACAAGTCTTGTATGCTGTTTGGCACGGATCACAGCTGGTTCGTTGGGAAGATGATCAATTTCTATTCCTCCTGGGTCTTCTCTTTGGTTGCTGAAGAGAGAGATAGAGAGAGAGAGAGAGGGAGACGCTTGGGGAATACCGGAAGAGTCACTTTTCGACCAATCTCCACGATGAGGCTTCTATGATCCTCAAACCAATCTTCTCCGCGCACAGGGCGCTGGCAATTGCCTTTGCCCCCAAAGCCAGATGAGATCGCAGAAGAGGAAGAGGAGGAGGTGCGAAGCGGGGTTTTGCTCTCAAAAGGAACTTGATCTTCCATGATATTCCTACCAAGCCCAGGGCCCAGGTTGTCCGTCTCACTTGTGGTCAGACTCTGACATGGAGGTGGTAATTAATCCGAGATGTCACGATGTCTTTCTTCGGGTTCCAAGTAAACTTGATCCATCCAGACTCCGTAGCACCCACAATAGACCATTACAGACTATTACCATCCAGTCTAGGTACTAGGTACTGAACCTATAGTACGTGGTACTACTATATATATATATATATCAAACATTTTTATATCCATAAAGGTAGGGGTTCTATCCCAACGGATGACCTTTGCCTCTCAAGATCTCTCAGCATCAGCTTGTTCCAGGCCCCCAGCGGTCCTGTGGGCTCGCAATGTTGGAGCAACGGCTACAGCTTTCGTGCCTGCTGCCGCTTGGGCGACGAGGCGGAGAGACCTGGCTCAGGGATCCATTTTGGATGTGTGGGACATTTGGAGGAACATGTCCCATACCATCCATGGAATATGATGGAATCTGTGCCTGCATCATCAGGGTGCCTTTGAGATGCTTTGAGGGTGAATGTTGGTCAATCTTGCATGGATTGCTTGATAGGTTGACACCATGGTCATGTTTTGAGGGTTAATAGGTTCACATGGGATTGTCAAGGTTTGGACACCATTGACATGGTGAGCTGCAGCGAACGTGGAGCCATGGCCTCCTGCTCGCGCGTCGGACGGGTCCGTTCGGGAGCGCAGGAGGAGGACTTCAGCGAGCAGAGGGAGAGTTGCTGGGCTCCTTGGATTGCAAAGACAATGGCGACTCCTTTCAACAGAGAAGTCGGTGTCCTGACCACAGGCGGACATGAACGAAAGCTGGATCCATTTGGGACCCGGCCACCCGTATAAAGGAGGATGCCACTTCACTAGCAGTTCTCACGTGCCTCCGCTTACAATCCTCTTAGACACTTTCTCTTTTTGGACCAGTTCAAGAGGATTGTAAGCCTCAAATCTCTTCAAGAGGACCAGTCAAGACTGTCAAGAGGACCAGTTTAAGAGTTCCTTTTGGACCAGTTCTCGTTTTGAGTCTCAACTCTCGTGCTTTCCAACCGGGAAAGCGCCGCGGCAAAGCCTGCTGCCCGTGCCCCCGCCGAAGGATGGGCTTCATACCGAAGAGCGCTGTTGTCGGGGGCTGGCGCCTCGATCGTTTTAGAGCTGGATGACGGGAGGAGGAGGAGGAGGAGGAGAGAAACATGGACACCTGCAAGGGTGGACCAGGGTGGACCTCTTTATTTGGAAAGGAAGAGAGCAGTCTTTTTAGGTCACTGAACTAGTGATAGTAGGCTGGTTGAGACTGGTTGAGACTGGTTGAGAGTCACTGGTGAGGGTAGTGGTTCGTGGTTTGAATCACTGGAGATGTCTGTTCAGCAGGGTGTCTGTTCAACAAAGGAACCACCGACAAATGCGAACAGCACGACTCCTGTGGCTCTTGGGGTGGCTAAAGGGAGTGTAAAGTTGGAACTAAAGAACGTTTGCTGTGCCTATTTGTGCCTCTTTCCATGGAATATATATATATATACACCATAGCATAGTAAAAGCACCTTGAAAGAATCTTGGGAGTAGTCGTCATGGGTTTCACACTTTGTAAGTTAATTGGCCTCTCACGTCTCAACTCCTATCTCAGTCAGATGTCGCTGTCAGATGTCGCTGAGATCGACCAAGTTGCCTCGTCCACGTCCTCAGGTAACGCCCCCCACACGCTGGCGCCCCGCGCTGGCCAAAGGTTCCAAGGCGCAATGCCTCACGGCCGTGTTGGCCAGGTGGGAGAGATCCGGAGTGGTCGCAGGCAGATTCGGCATGGCGGCAGGACCAATAAGGGAACCAGAATACCCTTCTACCGTAGACGCAGACAGTTTCTTTTCTTTTTCTTTTCTTTTAATAGACGGATCCCCAAATAGATAGAAAAGGTCGTAGATCTCCACTCAAAATGGATTGGACAATCTGATCGCGTTTCAGGTCGTAGATCATCCCTTTTGGGACCACTGGACCACTACGGAGAGACCCAGTCGTCCGCCCTTCGTCGTCTCCACCGATGGGAAACCGATGCGGCAACTGGGAGGATTTTCGAGTTCAGGATGGATGCAAGATGATGCAGGTTTCACACGGGAAGACAAGCTAATGCCGGAGACACGTGACGTCAGTCGGATGGAGACACGTGGCGCGGCGTCCCTGGTGGTTTCCACCTGTCAGATCTGTCAGTGGTGGCGGGGGAGCCAGGTCGTCCTTTGGATGAATGCATCAGTTGTGTTCCACAACGGCAATCCAGTTGCCAGGCCCCTGCGCCTGACGGAGAGTCCGGACCACTGCCCAGCGGGGGAGCATCGCTACTTCTACCTGGCGCAACTGGGCAAGGTGCGATTGAGGCGATCGGGGCGGGGCGGGGCGAAGGGGGTGGGGTGAGAGGGATGGGGCAGATGGGTGAGTAAGACATGGGTGAAGATGTTTTTTTTGTTTAGACAATTGGTGAAAGGAACACCAGGCATAAACGAGAAATGAGACACAATTGGTGAAGATTTTGAAGTGGAAGTGGGGCCAGGATGGCCAAGGCTTATGTGGTGTTGAACGTCTCCCCTTAAATTGAGACAACGTGAGTTTGTAGCGAAAGAATCAATTGTCAATGGTGGTTTAAATGTGACATCCCGAAGAGGGAACGATTGAAGAGAAGGCAAGAAGCGCGACTCTCCTGCACTACCTATATGTGTCATGAGCAATGGTTCGCACAAGACATGTCCTTGTGGAAGATCATGGGAAAATCCCCAAGTTTCATCAAGACATGTCCATGTTTCGTCCACTATGGAAGATCATTTTATACCCTCCTCAAGACTCTTGGCTCAATTCCCAAATGGTGGTTTATGGTGGTTTGCTTGCCCCAAATGCTCAAACTCTGCCAAGGAGTTTCGAAGAGGGTGTCATTCCATGTCCCAAGTCCGAAAGGGGCCCGCCCTATACCGGACCATCCATTTGTTCGGATCCTTCGACAGGATGGACTTCGACGCCACAGCCATCCCATGGTTTTTGGAACCGCAGTGGAACACCTCGGCTTGGGCACAGCACGTGGCACGCTACGGGCCCTCTGGCGTGCATGATCACAAGGCTCGTGACCTGGGGCAGTGCCTGGGTGAGCTCAAATGGCACGGTTGAATTTGTATGAATTTGTGATGTTTTCTCCTTGAAATGGTCCCACCCATGATGTTCTTCACGCTTTTCTTCTTGAGTCCTGATTCTTCAGTCTCCCCCTCATTAACTCTTGCTTCAACTCCCAAAAATGCACCAAAAAGGCCTCTTTCTACCGGGCTTCAAGACTCTCATCTGCACTCTCGCAGCTGCATCGCCGTGGCTTGGTTGGATGCCTTGGCTTCCTCCCAGTCGTCCATGGTCGCCCATGGCGGTCCCCGCCCACCGGGCGATTCGGTACCGGCCTGCACAGGTGGTGGGTGGCCTGTGCGTTCCGTTGGACTGTGAGATGTCCACCACGGCGCAGTTCCTGGCGCCACGCGTGGCACCCTGGACTCTTGGTGGAAGACTGCGCCGTTTTTCGAGGTGAGGGGGGGGGTCATGGTGGCTGCGTTGAGAAAGGGGGGAGGAGCAGCGGTATTTTTAGGACGGGGTGAACCCCTTGTGGGTAGCACATGCTGCACACGATGGGCCTCAAAATCTTGAAGATCAGCTAATCAATTCATTGAAGCCATGCGCCATGCTCAGGTGGCGTTTCCCTATGTTGGAGCCGTGGCCGCTGAATGGCAGCCATGTGCTGCTCCCTCCGCCGCTGGCGATTGCGCACCAGCTGCACCCCAAGGAGGAGACGGGCGTCACGACGCTGAGAGCAAGTGGTGGTGGAACAGCAGGGGCTTTTGGAGTCTGAATATTCCTCCTACCTATCTCCACCCTACTTGCGATGGCCTCCACCCTAGTATATATATATATATATACATTTTTTTTTTTTTTCGGTCTCTTGTAGTTGAGGAGACATCCGAAATGAAGCATGCTTGAATGACAGAAGCAGTTCTTTCCCCCGCCTCAATATGTCCTCCCAAGAGAAGGTGGCATCAAAGGGAGGGACAACCCTTCAAGCCATTCTTATAGACTTTCTTACTAAGGTTGGGATTCTGGATTTGACATCAACTCCGCTCTGCATTGCAGGGTGTTTTGGAGTCTTTACTGTACTTATTATCACTGATTGGTAGGTGCCTCGTTTCCAGGATGTGGGTGACTGACCTGTCAATTTGACCTACTGACCCATTTGACCTACTGACCTCAGAGCTTTATCCCATGCATGAGCTAGTTTTGGGAGGTGTCACTTTCAGCCTTGGCTTCAAGCAGTCCTTGTAGAAGTTGCCATCCTCCCCTCCAAGGCCCCCCCCCCCCCAAGGCCTCCGTCCGCCGTGTTCCGCCGTGTTCCGCCATGGGTTGGGAGACTGAGGATGTGGGTCTCCAAAAGCAGTTGCCAATCAATGGCGCAGCCCAGCTTTTGTGAGGCCCGAGGGTGCGAGGGTGGGAGGCGGGTCGGGTCGGGTCGGGACAGGTCGAGAGTCGTTGGTCTGGTCGACCAACGGACGTTGGGAATTGGGTTCTTTTTGTTGCTAAGAAGACCGTCTTGAAAAGGCAAAAAGAAGTAGAAGCATGTTAGAAGCTACCTCTTACTGGATGAGCTGGGCTGATCATGGCTGAACTCTGATCTTTTTTTCAATGTGAGAATTGACAGTGATGAACCACTTTAGAGCACCCACAGGTAAATCTCTCTGGTCTCTTGTTTGGAATCATCTTCTTGAACACTTCCCCCACTCGATCCTTCGAAGACGTTGAGCATCCTCTCACATCCTGGGAACTCTTCTTGAGACCTCTCAGTCAGTATATTTAGATATAGTTAGTATATAGTATTGCCATTGGCACCCTCGGATTGCAACACATGAACTTCTCTTCACCATCTTTACCTCTCTTCACTTATTTATCTCTATTTATCTTCAACCCCCAAAAGCCAAGAGCCTCTAAGAGCCTCGCGACTGGCCAGAAACCCAGCGTCTCCACCCATGTGTTCATATATTTCCCCAAACAGTTTACTGTTAGGGGTTCTCAATGCTTTAAAGAATGGTCGCCTTGGTGCTGGATGGTCTGGTCGGGTTGAGGGCCAGCTTGTCTCCCACTTCCTTGACTTGTCTCCCAGTTCTTTTCATTCCCCAAACAGGTTTACCTGTGAGGGGTTCTTACTCCTTTTAAAGGGGTGCATGCTCGGCCGGATGATTTTGAGTTTGTCTCTGGGCTTGTGTTCCTGGCCGCATGATTTCACCCTTGTCTCCCACTTGTCTCCCACTTGTCTCCCACTTGTCTCCCAGTAAGCTCTGGATCCTCTCAGTGCTCTGGCCGCATGATTTTATACTTGTCTCCCATTTGTCTCCACTTGTCTCCCAGTTGTCTCCCAGATACTTGTCTCCCATTTGTTTCCCACTTGTCTCCCAGTTGTCTCCCAATAAGCTCTCAATGCTCTCAGTGCTCTGGCCGCATGATTTCAGGCTTGTCTCCCATTTGTCTCCCACTTGTCTCCCAGTAATCCCACTTGTCTCCCACTTGTCTCCCAGTAAGCTCTGGATGCTCTGAGTGCTCTGGCCGCATGATTTCACACTTGTCTCCCACATGTCTCGACTTGGCTCCCAGTAAGCTCACTTGCCTTCCACTTGTTTCCCATGGCCTGTCTGGATGCTTTGTATCCCCGGACTTGGCTGGATGCTGGGCCGATTAATTTTTTGATGCGCACAAGGTCGTTGCTCTGTTGTATTTCTGGTGTTTCGAGTTTGAAAGCTGCATTGGCTGCAATGGGCCGTCGATGAGTTTGCCGGCTCGGATCATGAATGACGCATGGTTTAGTGTTGCAGTTTGCCAGAGGGACAGCTCGCCATCTTGCGACATGTTATCAGACCAGCTTTGTTACTGATTGCTTTTCGCGAGTGTTGCAACACGCGGAACATGGCTAAGCCAAAGAAGGCAACTGCGTAGGAAGGAAAAAGCCAAGCGCAGTGTCCGTGCTCTGAGGAAATCTTCATTTTGATTGGGTCTGCGCATTCGTGTTTACAACGGGGGCAACATATGTCACAACCTGGATCCATAAATTTCATGTTTTAGCCCTTGTACGGCGTCCCATTGTAAAGTCAATGAAAAACAGAATTTTAATGCTTTCCCTTTGAATCTTGTATGTGCGTCTACACGGTGGACTATAGTTTTCTTCCTCTAGGAAATACTGCTGGCCATATTGTTCGGAGATCTCATTTTTGAACATTGCTCTGTTTGGGGTCTACGCTGGTATAATTTCAATCCTCGTCACTCCATTTTCCACTGAGCTAGGAACAGAACCTAATAGCGTCCTTGCTACTAGTAGCGATGCACTTTGTTACTGGTAGCTTCTTGAAACTAGTAGAAATGCCAGGAGCTACTAGTAGCTTCTTTTTCACTCAGGACTACTGGCAGTTCGCCCTCCACGAGCGCCGCCTCCTCTCCACACCGCCGCTGACTCCCACACGGGAGTCCATGGCCGTGGCCCTCGGGCTAGCGGCGCTGGCGGCCGTGGTGGCCGGCGTGGTGGTGGCAGAAGAGCGGGACGAGCGGGCCAGGCGCGGCATGTCCGACCCCAAGAAGCGAATGGGGTTATTTAATGTTTTATCAACGGTCTTCTTTACTTGGGAGGAAGAGGTTCTGAAATGAGTCATGGAGTCATGAACAACGGCCAACAGGGAATTGGTTTGCACCAAAAGGGCGGAGCACGGCGCTCCGCATGGCCAAAGGAACCGTCTCTGGCGTTTGTGGTTCGACCTCCCAGTTCGACGCCCTGGAGGCAGAACATCGATTCAATACCACGTGGTTGGAGGGTCTCCCTGTTTCACACACACCCCAGATTCCCACTTTCATAGTTCAGGGAGTGTCGCGAAGGGTCGATTGGGGTTGGGCCTGTTTTTGTGATCGCAGACACGAGCAATGGGCAGACACGACATGGGATCTTCCGAGGACTCGAAATAGGGAGAAAGGCTTTCCAACACTGGGGATTAACTTTTCGATCAGTGAATGACACTCACGCAGATTGCTGCAGACATCCCCAAGCAGTGGATGCACATCATATCCTTGCCATATTACATCATATTACTCCGAATCTGTTCCCCTTCTCCGAATCTCCCCGCAGGAGCTGTAGAAGCTTTCGAGCAGACCTCCTTCGCGTGCTTTTGACCATGACCGATTCTGGGCTGCGGTGAGGGAGGACCGGTGAATGTGTGGGAGGACCGGTGAAGAGCTAAAGCAGGTATTTATAGACATAGACATAGACATAACGCTCAAAATAGCCAGGAACCCCGCAATGAGGCTCCTGCACAGCGGGAAGGGAAGTGAACACCGTTTCATGTGGAGGATCCCGACGTTGGGTTTCAGATGCCAAGGGACCCGTCACCGACGTTGATGTATTCGTCCTTCGACTGCAAGGGCTCCCGATGGTTCGTGCTGCAGGTGCTGCAGGTGCTGCAGGTACTTTCTCCCCTTTGATACTGTCAAGATGGGGCAACATCGGGTTCCAGGCTGCCCCCCGCTCCCAATTTTGTGGCAACGCAAAGACATCAACAGTGGGGATGTAACACGCGCTTGGTCATCCCAAAGTGGGAATCCCAGAGTCCTTGAGATTCCGAAACAGCTTGTAACAAGTGACCTGCTTGATCCTGCTTGTATTAACTTACCCGTGTCTTGGGCAAGACGAGTGATCTGAATGGTTGTAATTGCTGTTCCACCCTGACATAGATTCTCTGCCCTCCCCGGCAGTTTCTCCTGAATTCTTGGGATGTGAATGTATGAATTATGCTGATGGACATGGATGAACCATCAAAATTGCACCTAAGGACCTAAGTTAGGAGCACAACACCCAACCACTATCAACCACCTCACCTCACCTCAGAGCTGCAGCCGCGAGCAACCGCTCCCAGCAGCTCCCAGGCGCTTTGGGCACATGTCTTCCACCATGGTAGCTGGCAACCTGTGGAGACACCAGGACTTTGGTTTGCCTCGCAGCATTTGACCTACAAGGCGAGCCTGGCATGGCTTCATGTCTTCGTGCCCTGCCCTGCGCCGCTTCGAACCAAAGCACTACCATGTGATTCCACCACGAGTCTCCTTATGAACCCAAGTGATAAACATGTACGAAGTCTCCTTATGATTACACTGATGTACATGTTGATCACTTGAGCCATGATTTGCCCCCCCCCGAAAAACGTGTTCCTGGCCAGGTGAACGTGGGCTTTGTAGTGCTCTCCACCCACTTGCGTCTCTCCCGACCGAAGACGGGCCGGACGCTGCTGGGCGGTGCTGTTCAGCGCTATCTGCAGCTAGGTGGGGAGTCGCTGCACCGGTGCACGCGCGCGCGCGATTCAGGACGAGGATCCTCGACCAGTTCATGGATCCTAGCATCATGCAACAAGAATCGGACTATGTTTTTGTGGAAAACGATTCCCTACGAGTCCTGACCTGGTAAAAAAACCTGGTCTTTTGCCTCCTTAAGTCCGGTGGTTTATATTCGTTTTTGTCCTGGGATCCTCCGTTCGCATGCAACACATGTGACACATGTGCAGCTCTTTGTTTTTCCTGATCTTTGTGTGCTTGTTCCCTTTGGCAGCTCACTTGTCAGTGTTTTGCATCGCAGACACCACGAGTGCAGGGTGACCAAGGGTTGACCAAGGCGACCAAGCAAAACCGTGAAGGAGGGGTGTTGCAGGTGGCTTTTTTTTTTGGTGTTGGCGTTGGACAGTTTTCCAAGAGGTGGAGGTCTTAACCCTTCTGATCTCATACAGACTACACAGTCCCCTTCTAGGTCACGTAGGTCAATCCCCCCGTTCGCAGGGTATCGCAGGGTTGTTTTGGGCTTCGTGAAAAGAACACTATGGGAACACCCAAGTGATGCCTTCCTGTCTGACCAAAGGAAAACCAACCAAACAGAAATCATTAAACACCGGTTCCCGCGCCGCTTGGGGGAGTCGGCCAGCGCGCCGGGAACGGCCGCAGCACTACCGCTGGGCCTCTGGACGATGATCTACCTCTTCGTCTTCGTGGAAGGCCACCGTTGGACACCCGCGTCGGTTTTCTGCGTCGGACACCCACGTCGTGGCCCTTCCAGAGAGTGAATACATAGGGATTCGAAGCAGTATCTATGTGGATGTTCCTTGCTCAAATAGTTGGTCAAAGCTCATCAAATTTTCCTTCGGCCCCTCGTGTTCTGATGTTTACGTTGGTTTTTAATGGCTTTTATGTGTTCTAAGGTTTTCGATCTCATTCTCATCCTCCATGTTCGCGGAAATAGACCCATATATGTTTCTTGATCCATCATGTGGTTTGGTTTGTCTCAGGGAATTGCTGAAGAAACTCAATTAAACATATTATATCTATAAAGAGGACGGTTATAGCATCCCAGTGTCAGTTGGGAGGCTTCATCCAGATCCACCTTCTCCGGCCTCTAGCTGCCCCTGAACAGGGTTTGACCTCAGTGTCCAGGCTTGCCCATGAACAACCTCATGAAAAGCAGTGGCCTCCACCGGTGGTACACCGAAAAACGTCGGTGCCCTCAGTGCGGCTCTCACCGGGGTGCGGCTCGCCGTGTGCGCGACCGGGGTACCGGCCACCGGAAGGGGTCGACCGGGTCGAGCGGGTTGAAACCACTGGAGGTGCTGGCTTTTGAGACCTCAATTTCTGCCCCCATCTGACCTCACCACTTGCTGGACGGGCAGATGGGGTGCTTTGGGCGACCCTCTGACCCCCCCACCCAAACTTACACTCTCTCCTTTCCGCAGCTGTTGGATCGGAACCGTGCGGAAGTCGAGCGCAGCGTGCGGAAGTCGAGCCATTGATGACTCCCATGCTCTCCATGCCAGCCGTGCCACAACAAAATCAGAGCAACATGCACGTCCGCCAGCAGGAGTGGCACGTAAGTGGTGAGATGTCCAAGTGTTCACATCTGGGTGGGGTGTGGGTGGAAGGTGTCTGAAGATATACAAGCATTGAAGTGGAAGCAATAGAAAGAGAGAGAGAGAGAGAATGTTCAGAAAGGCCTGCCATGCCTGCCACCTAACCATCATCATCCTCTGCAATGGGACATGGAAGACCCTGGAAAACGCGGGGCAACCGATGTCTTTTCCCTAACATCTGCAAGACTGGCTTTCGCTTCCAGAGACATCCTGCCACAATCGTAGTATTCCACGTGTCGGACAGGGCGTGTGTATTCTGATTGGAACTTGGCTCGAAGAAGACAGCAACAGCGACCCCATGGAGTTTTAGTCTACACTCGGACGAACACATCACATGGAAGTGGAAAACACTTGGTTCGGAAAGTCGATCGGTCGCCAAGCAGCGCGTGGGCGCTTGACGGGCGCGTTTCTTTGCCAGGAGGCATGGAACGTCCAGGTGATGCAGTTGCAATGCATGTTGGGATTCTGGAACAAGCAGCAAGCCAACTTCCCGAATCAGATGATGAACCAGATGAACCAGATGAACCCGATGAACCAGGCGAGGTTGGGGGGAGACGAAGACCTATTTCTAATTCTATACTTTAAATCACAACTACCTGCAGTCGCTGCCGCAGGTCGGCATGGGTCTGGCGCCCTGGGCCTGCGGTGCGATGCCAATGGCCTTTGCCCCACAGGGCATGGGCATGCAAGGGATGATCGGCATGCAGGGTGCTTTTCCTCAGACCATGCCCTTCTGCGGGCCGCCCAACTTCGAGGGCCCACGATTCTTCGCCTTCCCAATGGCACCGGTGCAGCAGCAGGCGCGGGTCGATGCGGTGAGCGTAGAGGAGCGTAGACTCGCTGTCGACATCGGTCCGTCGCCGGTCCGTCGTGCGGAGGATCCCAATATGGCACAGATGGGGCAGAGCTCCTCCGCCGATTGGGGCCAGTTCCAGGTGCGGTCTTCGACCGAATTCGAGGTGTCGGGAGACCTTGGAAAGGCCTTACTCAGAGTGTCCTCCCTGTTCCATCTTGTTTGAGACAAACATCAACAAAACATCTCCAGCAAAAAAGATCACGGCATAGATGGCATAGCAAAAACTGTTGGCTGTTGGCTGGTTGATTTACATACTCTACGATTCTTTCTTTCAGGACACCAATTTCTAGCTTCTCACGGAGAACAACCGATCCCCATCCATCCGCACAAACCGCAGGGCTATGAGCAGCCCAAAGTCTGGCGCTGGGCTCCTCCGGCTCCACCAGCCCCGGCGGCCGCACCTCCCGCCCCAGAAGCGGACATGCCAGATGACGTGAAGGCGTCCACCTGGCCGCATGGGGTGAAGACACAGGTTCGTGGGGGATGATGTTCAGGTGCCACATCCCCACCCGAAAAAGGGCCCCCCCCATCACACGGTTGCTTGTGGATTTTTGGCGCTTCTTCCACCCCCCAAAAACGCCACACCGGTGACCAGTGCAAACATCCGTGCGCCAGGACTTTGTGGCCAAAGCATTGGATGCCCATGCCTGCTGGGTCGCTTGGACCGCACCGTGAAGACCTGAATGCCTGGAGCACCGAGTCGAATCCCTACCGGACCCCCCTTGCTGGTGCGACGGTCCCGGTCCATACGTCGCGGACGCACATCGTGCGTGGGGTCTGAGGACCTGCAGGACTTCATTCCAGATGCCTCGAATGCTGAGTGGCTCGGCATCGCCACAGGTGGGATGGGGATCGAACGAAAACATACACGCACACACACCGTGCTGGTGGTGTTTGGTACCATTCAGATCCATTCAGGTATATACCCTAGAACCCAATTGACCTCTGTTTTAATAGGAAAAGACCATATTTTGGCTCCAAAACAGGGGTTAATCAGGTTCTAGGTATATAGATAGGTTATATGGATACACAGCTTTGCACTTGTCCTTTGAGCCTGTTAAGGCTGAAGTTCATGGCAACCCAGCTGCGCGGACACGTGCGCGAGGCGAGGGCATGTGCCGGGCACGTGGTTGTTGGGAGACTTTGGTCGTTTTGTTTGCAGTCGGGGATTGGCTCGACAACGGCCTCGTTCCACCCTTCTTTTGGATGAGGATGATGCGACCGCGCGTCGGAGAACATGGGGTTTATATTGATTTCCTATTAGGCACATGTTAAAATTTACTAGTAGATATGAGTGATACTCTCTTTACAGGATGCGTGTTTCTTTTTTCCACCTCGCGCTATCGCATTGCTTTCTCGTCCTCAGCCACGCGATCCCATCGTCGTGCCGAAGCAACACACGGTATGCCGCTTTTTCTCGGTGCCGGCCGTGCAGCTTGTGCTTCAGCCTCCATCCATCTCCATCCACCGCTGCGCTTCAGGTGGTGGAATCGCCGCACGGCAATCATGTCCTCCAACGCATGTGCCTTGTTCCGGTCACGTGAACATGGCAGACCCGTCGGTGTGTCACAGATTCAAACACGGCTTCGAGAATCCAGTGTCTATTCTGTTTATCCCTGGAGCTTCAAAGGGGCGGGAGGCCACTGCGCGATCTCCAAAGTAGTGGGACTGAAGAACGTTGATTACTGCTTTCAGAATTCGAAGGGTTGAGGACCTAAAGGACTGAAGGTCTCTAATGCACTACCCTACACTACCTCTTGGAAGGTGCTATTAGTTATAGTTATATAAAACAAGAATAATATTTACATATTATTGTCATTGCATATTGTATATTTGCTGTACAGACTTGTTTCTTTTTTGGGGGAGATTGGTCTTGGTTTATCCGAAGTGCCTTGTTTGACCGGGACCGGCGAGCCTCGCTGTTTCAGGTTGGAGTTCATGCCGGCGAAGTCGTTGCATTTCGTGCTCGAAGAGATGCTTGCCTGGGCGCCTGCGCCGGTGCTTGCACGCCACCGCTATGGCTGCCGCGTGCTGGAGCGGGGGGGCATCGGCCGAGGGTTAACGGGAGAGCGAGCTTCTGAGAGAGTGGAATGGAGTGGAGGGAGGGATGGTTCGGATGATTTCGGATTCTCAAAAGGAGCTAAGGGAATGTGTGGTTTACATTTCACTCGATCCATCATTACATGGGGAAAATAGGAAAAATCTCCACAAGTTTTAACGAGTTTGGCCGTCTAGGCTCCGCCCAGACGCATGACAACACATGCCTAGAACGAATTTGTTTGAAAGCTGCCCACACCTGTTCCTAGTCCATAGATATATAGGGTGTGTCCCATTACCAACAACAGTCGGTAAACGATTGTCACTACTTTTTGAGATGTCCGCCTTTGCTAATCGTCATCGTCATCGTCATCGTCGTCATCATCATCATCATCATCGTCGTCGTCATCATCATCCACTGTTATACCCAAAGTCCATCTGATTTTCATGATCTCCGACCCGTTTCATCATTTTCATCTCCCATCCCCCTATAATGCGCCCAAGCCCAAGCCCCCCAAAAACCCAATATGGACATCCATCCGTGTACAGGACCCCCCCAAAATCACACTCCATTTCTTCAAGACCGCACGCGGCGCGGCGGTGCCCACAACGGTGCGCGCGCCGCGAGGAGCGCATCTTGGAGCACTTCGCTGAGCCCGCCATCAAGGGATTGCTGGAGGATCTCTTGTACTATGCCAAGGACGCTCGGGCTCCGGGGCTCCGGAGCCAGGAGGCCACGAACGGAGCGAGGCTACGGTCGGACGCTCCGAACGGGCCTCCTGGCCTTACTAGGAGCAAGGACGCTTACTACCGACTGGGTGAGGGGAGATGTCTGGGCGGCGGTTGGGGGTGGGTGAATCCATTAGATGGTTGTTCTTCCGCCCGGATGAGGGATCTTGCCGTGTGACCGGATGAATTCAAGAGAAGAACACCTCACCATAGGAGTCCTCAAACAAAAGCAATGGGGTTTTGCAAGGCAGTACATACACTTTGTATAGCATGAACTTGTACTCGTACGTGAGCCCCTTTCTGGCTGAAAATAGCGCGCTACCCGCTTGCATGGTAGCGGAGCAGGGTGAGCTCCTGCTCCGGGTCCCCTGTTAGACAGGGTAAGACCCGCGCTCGGGCGCCTGCGTGGCGGACACCCTGTAAATCCACGTTGTGGTGTGGGCACGGTGTAATTCCTCCCCGAGTGGAGGTGTCAAGCAGCGCCCATGGCTTCGAATGCTGCGCCGCTTACTCCGCCAGGTGCATTCTCGCTCGGAGATTCCCTGGCTGCGGCAGCTGAAGCAGGTCTTCTACCTCAACAACAAGCTCAGCAGCAGCAAGCTCAGCCAGCCCTTCCAGCTCAGCAGGTCGGCGCCAGTGGTCTCATCGACACCAGAGCCATTGGCAAGTTGAAAAGCTTTTCAGGCAAAGAAGAGGAATGGGCAGCCTGGGTCTTCGTGGCAAGAGGGTACCTCAACTTGCTGGATACAAGCTACCAGGCCCTCATCCAGGCTGCAGAGAATGCCAACCGGTACAGCGACCTGATCCTGAGCGATATGGGGCAGCACGCCCAGGAGAAAGCCATCATCCTGTTCAACCTCCTCACCCAGAGCGTTGATGGCAGAGCCCTACAGGTGTTGATGAGTGTGGAGAATGGAAATGGCTTCCAGGCTTGGAAGGCCCTCTGCGAGGCCTATGAGCCTGATGTT